ACGGCTACTTTATTGTGTTCTTTAAAGGTAAGGTCTTCCGACATGAGTACACCCAGATCCTTTACATTGCCTTTTCGTTCTATGTCATGATTTGCCCGAGTTTTGTACGTGGTTTCCGTTTTTATATTTACATTTTTTCCATAGAGCATGAGCTGGAACTTATCTTCGTTAAACACCATATTATTTTCTGTAGCCCATAGAAAGACCTGATCTACATCTGACTGGAGGTTTGCCGTGTCCTCTATGTTGCCTACTCTCATGAAGATCCTAGTGTCATCTGCAAAGGATGATACAGTGCTATAGGTTGTGTTCTTGTCTATGTCCGATATGAGGATGAGAAAAAGTACTGGAGCAAGCACAGTACCCTGGGGGACTGAGCTCTTCACGGTTGATGGGCTGGATTTTATTTTGTTGACTATTACACATTGGGCTCTGTTGGTCAGGAAATTGTAGATCCATCTGCCTATTTTTCCGGTAATTCCTTTTGAACGCATTTTATGTGCAATAACGGCATGATCACATTTATCAAAAGCTTTTGCGAAATGTGTGTAAATTACATCAGCGTTTTGTTTGTCTTCCATAGCATCTAATGCCATATCATAGTGGTCCAGCAACTGCGACAGGCAAGAGCGCCCTGTTCTGAAACCGTGTTGTCCGGGGTTATGGAGATGCTGTGATTCCATGTATTTTGTGATCTTGTGATTTTATATGAACATGTTCATATAAATCTGTATTCCATCTGGTAGATCTTTTATGTAGACAATGAACATTACCGGTGCAAGAACATGTACTGAACCCTGGGTACTCCACTTGTGACATTTCTACAGTCCAATACATTGTCTCTGATTACTGCCCTCATTTTTCTATCAGTTAGAACATTTTTCATCCATGTTAGAAGCTTACCTGTCACCCCTACAATATGTTCCAATTTCCAGAACAACCTCTTATGTGGAACTTTGTCAAAAACCATTTTTAGGTCCACATAGATGCAGTCAACCCAACCATCTCTTTTCTGTAAAATCTCTGTGGCTCGATTATAGAAACTGAGTAAATTCGTTACACAGGATCTTCCAGATCGAAAAACATTTTGACTGTCTCATATCGTTTTTTTCTCCAGGTGTTCTACCCAATTAGTTTTAATTATTTTTTCCACTATTTTGACTATTACACTTGTCAATGTTACAGGTCTATAAGTGAGGGGGTCTTCCCTGCTGCCACTTTTGTAGATTGGAACTATGTTAGCCTTTTTTCACACACATCTGCTACAAATCCTGTACACTGGGTTGCCTGAAAAATCAGTTTAAGTGGAATGCTGAGCTTAGGTGCACATTCTCTCAGAACCCATGGTGAAACTCCATCTGGGCCAAATGCTTTGTTCTTTCTTACCTCCTTGAGCATTTTCTCCACTTCGTCTCTAGACACCTCTATGTGCTCTATGTTGTTCTCTGGAATTCTTATTGTATTTGGTTCCCTGAAGATTTCATTTTGTTCAAGCACACTTTCGAACTTTTCGTTTAATGTTTCACACATTTCCTTTTCATTTTCCAGGAATCTGTTTCCCATTTTCATCCTCTGAATTTTATCCTTTACATGTAATTTGTAGTTTACAAATTTGCAGAATAGGCCTGGTTCTGTTGTACATTTGTCCACTATTCGTTTTCAAAATTTTGTCCTGCTTCTTTCCTCACTGCCGTGTAGTTGTTTCTTGCATCTTTGTACACTGCTGGTATGTTTGGGGGGTTTGGCCTCTTCCTTTATTCATTCCATTTTTGTGTCTTTTGGTCTCTGGCCCACTTGCATTTTGTTGAACCAATCCTGTTTCCTAGTCCTGCATCTCTGCTTTGGTATAAATTTTGGCGTCTCTCCAGTCAAATTCCTTAACCATTAATTGGTGCATGGCTATATACCATTCGACACCCCACAGGCGCAAAAAAAAAAAAAAAAATTCTTTCTAACCCTTTAATTTGTGTTCAATGATCATGGGAAAATAATAAAAAAATCGTAAGTGGCATATATTGCCTACTATAGGGTGGGGAAGTCTGGCAAAAAACAGGCGCTGACTCAGCGTGCATCCCTGGCGGTCTGTTCCTCGCCAGCTGTCAGGCCGGAGTTGTCACAAAGAGATAATTACCTAATTTTTTCAATGTCTCTGATTGATTTTTCATAGTTTTTTGCTGTAATATTATTCAATAATGTGTAGTGTGATATATTTATATAATAAAATGAGTGAATCATTGCTGTACTTAAAAATATGGTGTGCATATTCTTGATTCAAATATGTTCATCAAACAGTGAACAAATACTTTGTCGGTTATTACACTATATACACAGGTTATATATAAGTATCTGCACGTTTTGTTCACTATACCGAACCACTAATTTGCTATTATGAGTCAAAAAGTAGCGAGGAGTGACCGCCACTTGCTCTCTCCCTCAACACCTCACTCGCCCACATTCTCCTCCCACCATACTGTTTTTGCTTTTATTCACTATATACAGACGTTATATATAAGTATCTACATTCGTGTTCACCATAACAAACCACTAAGTTGGTATGCTGAGTGGCAGTGGCTGTGGCAGCCTGTGGCAGCCCGCCACTGGCTGCCACTCCCTCCCTCCCTCACCTCACCTGACTTGCCACCATTCTCCACCCACCATACTGTTTTTGCCTTTATATACAGACGTTATATATAAGTATTTACATGTTTTGTTCACCATAACTACATCTAAGCTTGTATGGTGAGTAAAGGCACAAAGACGTAGCTACTCGCACAGTCAGCTGATGGCGGCCGCCCTCAAGGCCAGACGCACTAATATTTCTCCTCCAACAATACTGTTTGTAGTATTATTATGCTATATACACACATTATATATAAATATCTACCTGTTTTATTCACCATACTTGTACAAGTAAACTGGTATGGTGCCCATAGACCATCGTGATCACCAGGAAACAACATGATAAATCGTGCAGACAACGCCACCGTCCTCACCAAAATGGTGGCTCCCAACCTACTCCTCTTGCTGTTTATACCCTCTATACACACGTTATATATAAGTATCTACATTTGTGTTCACCATAGCGAACCACTAAGCTGGTATGGTGAGTGCAGTCAATAAAAGGAGGCCACACACAGTCAGAAGACATCGCCACAACCCTCCCTCCCACAGCATTACTCCTCCCTCCATGGAGCACAGCGCTAAATATCACCACAATCCTGCTATTATCAGAACCCTGGTCAGTTTTATCACAGTCAGGTGTCTTCTGTAATAATATCATTGCTACATAATAGCATGAACAAGTATATTATGGCATTTTTAGGCGATGCTGTGGTCACAAGCTGAACAGCAGTGCTGTGAGCTCATGCCGCGAGCGTCAGGCTTGGTAGCTCACTCAATACTGAGGCCCCTAACACCCGGGAATTTGGCCCACAATTTTTTTTTTAAATTGCCTTTGTTTACAAGAGCCCTGATGAAGGTGTGGTGAACCCCGTGTATCCGCGGGCCGTTTAAATCTTGCGTAGTACTCCAAAGCATCATATGATGCGATGTGCAATTTACTGCAAGTCGGTCAAAGCATCATATGATGCGATGTGCAATTTACTGCAAGTCGGTCAAAGCATCATATGATGCGATGTGCAATTTAAGGGTTAAAGAAATGTGAAAGTTCCCCATCTTGTCCTCTCTTGAAATCAGGTTTTCCAACTGCTTCAACCTCATTTTTGTCCAGATTATAACACATTGCATACGTTATTCGCAAAATGATATGGTCACTTTTACCCAAAGGACAAAGGTACTGAATATCAAATATCTCGTCCTCTTTTCTGGTAAACATAAATCTAGAATGGAGGGAACATCCCTTTCATTCATCATCGTAGTGTGTTTAGCATGTTAAAACATGAATGTTTCCAGGATGAGATTTACGAATCTACAAGTCCAAAAATCTTCTGTTCTAGCTTCATGTGCCTCCCATTCTATGGATTTCAAGTTGAAGTCGCCGACTACCAACAGTCATGATCGATATCTGCTCTCACTATCATCTCTCATTATTGTTACAAGACCCTCTCGTTTATTATCCAGCTCCTCCTTTGACCATGTGTTGCTTAGCGGTAGACTAAATGCATTTATGATCATTAGTTTATCATCCTGACTGCAGATCTCTAGTGCTATTATGTCAACTTCTCATGGATTGGTAATCATTATTTCATTTACCTTCAGGAGCTCTTTCATTAGCGCAGCAATGCCACCGCCTTTCCTCATTTTTCTGTCCCGTCTCCAAACCATGTAGCCTCTTGAGAATATGACCATTTAAAATAACATCACATTTCGCCTCTGAGTGCAACTGTCTGGTGTCTGCAGCTGTATTACATCGCTTAACCCCAGTATCTTTGATCTCACTCCATCTATGTTGGTGTATGCAATTTTCAAGAACATGTTTCCTCTCCTTATTCTTCACTCCCCCTGTCTAGTGATTTTGTTGGTTTGCCTTTTTGTACCAATTTACTGGTCTGCCTACCCCTATCACTTTGTAGAAAAAAGAATTGATTTCTTCTTCATTCCTGCTCCCATTTAGACGTTTTGCCTCTACAAGGATCAGTTTCAGCCTCTCGGTCTTTTGAAAGATCTCGTCTTAATTGCTTTAGGATTTGCAACTGTTTACCGTTTCCCATTTTTTGGGACAGGAAAGTTGTTAGGATTATTGAGGTCTGCATTGATAACTATTGACCTCCCCCCCCCCTCCAGGATACAACCCCACAACAGTTAACTGCAAAGAACCTATTCACTGCTAGGTGAACAGAGGTATCAGTGGGTATGGAAACTTGCCCAAATTTGCCTCTCCTGCACAGACATCACACCTGGGACTATTAAGTTGTGAATCAACTGAACTGACCATTCCACAGCTTTATCATTGTATCAATATCATCTATCCACTTAATGAATGTACAGTAAATTTGTTTTTTCCTATTTACCAAAAAAGTCTAAAAGTATATTTCACAAACCTTCCCCATGTGCCACCCACACCCCAAGCTTCGCTCCTTCCATGCCTCTCAGCAACACCGAGTTTGAAGGTTCTATTAGAACTCTAGACCAACGAGACTCAAATCGTCCTGAAGTGTTCTGGGTTAGACAAACTGCTGAAGATTCACCTGTATAGAAAAGAATGATTTAACTGAATATAATAAAGTGTAGGGCTTTGGACGTCTTTGGATGAGGACAATGGTCAAAAATTAATACAAGCCTTATGTGTATCTGTCCACTTTTCATATGTAAACACACGCTGTAGGAATACCTCAAAATAAATACTTTTTTTTTTACTTTACAAGAATGCACAATTTTTTAAGTTGAATTTTAACTGCAATTTTAATACTTAATGGAAATAGAATATTGAGAGGGGGGAGTAGTGACACCAAAGAGGGGGGGATGTAGTGGCAGATGAGGAGAAAGGGCAGTGGCAGAGAAGGAGGGGGGGGGGTTATGGCAGAGCAGGGGGATGGGTTATGACAGAGCAGGGGGATGGGTTATGACAGAGCAGGGGGATGGGTTATGACAGAGCAGGGGGATGGGTTATGACAGAGCAGGGGGATGGGTTATGACAGAGCAGGGGGATGGGTTATGACAGAGCAGGGGGATGGGTTATGACAGAGCAGGGGGATGGGTTATGACAGAGCAGGGGGATGGGTTATGACAGAGCAGGGGGATGGGTTATGACAGAGCAGGGGGATGGGTTATGACAGAGCAGGGGGATGGGTTATGACAGAGCAGGGGGATGGGTTATGACAGAGCAGGGGGATGGGTTATGACAGAGCAGGGGGATGGGTTATGACAGAGCAGGGGGATGGGTTATGACAGAGCAGGGGGATGGGTTATGACAGAGCAGGGGGATGGGTTATGACAGAGCAGGGGGATGGGTTATGACAGAGCAGGGGGATGGGTTATGACAGAGCAGGGGGATGGGTTATGACAGAGCAGGGGGATGGGTTATGACAGAGCAGGGGGATGGGTTATGACAGAGCAGGGGGATGGGTTATGACAGAGCAGGGGGATGGGTTATGACAGAGCAGTGGGATGGGTTATGACAGAGCAGGGGGATGGGTTATGACAGAGCAGTGGGGGGTTATGACAGAGCAGTGGGGGGTTATGACAGAGCAGGGGGGGTTATTACAGAGCAGGGGGGGTTATTACAGAGCAGGGGGGGTTATTACAGAGCAGGGGGGGTTATTACAGAGCAAGGAGGGTTATGACAGAGCAAGGAGGGTTATGACAGAGCAAGGAGGGTTATGACAGAGCAGGGGGGTTATGACAGAGCAGGGGGGTATGTTAGAGGAGTGGGGATGATGAGAGGAGGGGTTGTGAAACGAATGGGGGTTGTGACAAATATGGTGGTTAATTCATTGACAAGGGAGGACACCATGGGTATGTATATGTCATTCTGAGAATCCCAGCCCTGTGGTGACTGGGCCGAGTCAGTTTACTTAACACTTTGGTCCGGTAATGATGCAGCATTGCGTGATGTTTTTACTTGGGGGGAAGTCCGGTAATGACGCAGCATTGCATGATTTCCAGCGGCAAATTGGTGACGGTTTCGAGAGGAGCGCGCCGTGGTTTTAGACATTATATGCATACACACCTGTAGGGAATTTCATTGCGAATACAATGATACCAAAATGAAAGACCTAGGACCAGAATTGAGGTAACAAAGTTGGAGAGTATACCCATTTTATTGCTCTTTATTAGTACTCACTGCGGTAACGCATCGTCACGTTCTCCGTTTGCTGTGGGTGGGATGCCGGGGTTTTGGACTTTATATTTGCATATACTCCTGTAGGGAATTCTATTGCGAACACAATGATACCAAAATGAAAGGTCTAGGATGAGAATTGAGATGTCTGAAGTGAAGAGTGTACACATTTTATTGCTCTTGCACGCTCCTGGGTAACATGCTCTCACTTTCTCACTTTCTCGCCGGGCTTTTGGGCTTTATATGCATTTAGTCTTGTAGAGAATTCTATTGCAAACACATTGATACCAAATTGGAAAACCTAGGACGAGAATTGAGATGACAAAGTTGAAGAGATTACACATATTTCGGTATGAACGCGCTCTCTATTCAACCCGTCCTCTTAAAAATAACGTCACTTTTCACTTGTATGCGCACTATGGCCAAATTTGGACGTAATTTGAAATGAAATCGACTCACAAAAGTGACGTACTGTTCCGTTTTCTGTTTGAGTCGTCCGGCTTACTTGGCAAGCTTAGAAAAGGAAACCTTCCATTGACGTTTTTCATACCGTTTTGAAACTGTATGAGAATTTCCTGCCCACCTAACCTATCAGAGGACCCTTAACTTACTGTTATTGAAAAAAAAAAATCCCAAATTTATTTTCATTTTTTTTTTCATTTTCAAATTACGTCCAAATTCGGCCATACGGGCAAACGGCCAAAATCGACGTTCTTTTTAAGAGGACAGGTTGCTCTATTGTAATGAGGTGCGCCTTGTGGTGGTGCAGCGCTCTCTTTCTGGTAACTTTCATCTTGTCGGCAGGTGGAGCGCGCCGCTGTTTTTGACATTATATGCATATATTCCTGTTAGGAATTCTATTACGAACACATTGATACCAAAATGAAAGACCTAGAACGAGAATTGAGGTGACCAAAGTGAAAGGAGTGTACACATTTTATTGGTCTTGCGCGCTCCCGGGAAACACGCTCTCACACTCTGTTTGTTGCGGATGGTACGCCGATTGTTTGGACTTTATATGTCTTTCGTCCTATAGAGAATTCTGTTGCAAACACAATGATACTAAAATGAAAGACCTAGGACGAAAATTGAGGTGACCAAAGTGAAAGGAGTGTACACATTTTATCGGTCCTGCGCGCTCCCGGGTAACATGCTCTCACTTTGTTTGTTGTGGACAGTACACTGGGTATTTGGACTTCATATGCCTTTAGTCCTGTAGAGAATTCTATTGCAAACACAATGATACCAAATTGAAAAACCTAGGACGAGAATTGAGGTAACAAAGTTGAAAAGATTATACACTTTTCAGAATTACCGCGCGCTCCCGCAGAATGCCCAAACCCACCCGGGGTAGTGTGACGCATGTGCGCCCAGAACATCAAAGTGTTAACACTGGTAATGTGTCAGTGGTAAATGCTATGAAAATGTGATTATGGTTAACAAATTTATGTAGTGTAACATTCTAAATTACAGGCATCACTATTGTTAAGGTTAGTGTGAGGATTACACAAATATACTAGCAAATCAAGATGAATCAAACCTGAAAATCTTCATATATATTTATGCATGACACTTGCCTTGGTGGCCATCAGGATCCAGCCAGCCAAGCAGAGCAATCAGCTGACACCCATTGCAAACACCAAGTGAGAAGTTATTAGAGCTGCTCTTCCACGTTTCTAATGCATCCAGCAGTCGTGGAGAACCGCTGATCACTTTAGCCCAGCCTACTGCTGACCCCAGAACATCTGCAATATAATACCATAGTGTTATGATTAAAAAGTTGAATAATTTCTTAATGGTAATTATTATTAGTCACCTAAAAATTAGGGGCTACACAATAACCCTTCCATGTCATGCTGCAAGCAGCCGCATCAAACGAGCTGGTACTTCAAGCTACCAACCAGGAGACCTGGCAGCTTAGCTGCCGCTTTGAGCTCAGGGGACAGTATGGTGCTTCTGTAGTTGCCTTGATTTCTTTCCTCCTTCTGCAATAAGTTCTGCTTGCAAGGTGTCTTTAGTGGTAACCTCCTTTTGCATCTTGAGGTCGAATGTCGTCCAACAAGATCTCCAACTCCACTTTCTGGGCCATCTCGCTTGGTCTGGACATCATGTGATAGTTTATACTCAGATTTAGGAGAGTGATTTGGTTCTCAGTGAGGTTGATTCCAGCAAGGTTCAGGAAGCCATCTCTTGGTCATGGAATCGCCATAGGTCCTCCATATAATGTTGTTCGTTTCTTTATGATCCTGGTTTCGGTGCTGTGGTGATGTCGATCTGTGAGGATGTCGAGGTGTTGGTCGATACGAGTACAGAGGTTTTCGTCCAGGTTGCTGTTTCTCCATTGGTTTGTAGTGTGGAGTAGTTGCAGTTGCATTTTGTTGTCTTTGATCTCATTTTCTGCCTTGTGTATCTGATTTCGAATCAGATCTTGGCGATATTTTATCGTGAAGGCTTGGTTTCTTGCTGCTGGGTCGTGCGTTTTAATATTCGTATATTTTGGTAGCAGTTTTTCTTGTAAACATATGTTGTTAAATATGACTGAAAAAGTGAGATTAATAACTAACACGAATTTTCTCAATATTTCTTATGTTTTTTTTTTTTTACTGACGATGGTAATTGAAAAATCAATTCTCCAAAATTAATTTTTATTTCTAGTCTGACGCGACGCTTGAATGCGTTTCGTAATAACTTATTACATTTTCAAAGACTTTAGTTTACACACACAACTGTAACCTGAAAACACTAAACAGAGTCTTACTTAAACTAAGACTAAACAGCTTATCCGTCTTACTTATACTCACATTTGGGTGAGGTGATATGGTGCAACAGTTTTGGATGAAGTGAACAAACTTGTGACAAATACAAGAGAGTGCACAAAACAATGGGTATTAGTTGGATAAGAGATTCAGCCATTCTGAAAGAGATTCAGCCATTCTGAGAGAGATTCAGCCATTCTGAGAGAGATTCAGCCATTCTGAAAGAGATTCAGCCATTCTGAAAGATTCAGCTATTAACACTTTCGCGCCCCATTGGGATGGTAAAAAAAAAAGCGGTATGTGCTCGCGGCGTTTTTGCCGCGTAAGCGTAAAAACAAAAATGTGTATACTCTTTTTACTCTCCTGACCTTAGTTCTCGAGCTACGTATTTCATTTTGGCACCAACGTGTTCGCAATAAAATTCTCTAGAAGAACATCAGTAAAAAAAGTCACGAAACGTATAGGGATACCAGCACCAAATAAATAACTACGAAGATGACTCGCCGTGAGCGCCCAACAGCAACAAAATGTTTTTACTCTTGGGATTGTTATCACCTCCACACTTGTCCTACAGCGTTAATTTTGGTATCAATGGACTCGCAATGAAATTCCCAATACGGTGATATGAATATAAACGTAGAATAATGATTGCGGCCCACCCGCAAGAGTGTGGGAAGTGGTGAAATTGTTACCCGGTATCGGTGACGGGACGACGCACGGCGCTTTGAAAGTTTATACTTATTTCACTCTCATGACATTATTATTCTATGTACGTCATTCATTTTTGTGTCAATGTGTTCGCAATAGAATGTTCTATGAGCCCGTAGGTAAAAAAGATCAACAAAGCGTAAGATAGAATAGTGCCAAATATAAAACAACGCTGGAACATATCAGTGAGCGTCAAACACACACAAAATGTTTTTACTTTTGTTATGTTTGTGAACCTTTCATGAACTTATTGTACCATGCAGCCTAGTGGTGAGAAAGAGAGCCTCATGGCGCGCAGTTTGAAACAAACCCAAAGTAAATCGGATAAAAATTGAATTTTATACAAATATTTTAAAAGAGGACATAAATTTATGTCCACCATGCGGGAGCGGGTAGGCGAAAGAGGACGCCGGGAGGAGTCCTCATCCGCAGAAAGTGTTAACCCTTAACATGCTAGGGGTATAATATCCTTTCTTCCCCACAGGCGCATGTAATTTTGAAAAAAAAAAAAATATTTTTTCTTCCTAACCTGTTAATTTGTGTTCACTGATCACAGGAAAAATAAAAAAAATCCAAAGTGGCATATATTGCCCGCTATAGGGCGGGGAAGTCTGGCAAAAAATAGGCGCTGACTCAGCGTGCGTCCCAGGCGGTCTGTTGCTCGCCAGCTGTCAGGCCGGAGTTGCCACAAAGAGATAATTACCTAATTATTTCAATGTGTCTGATTTTTCATAGTTTTTTTGCTGTAATATTACTCAATAGTGTGTAGTTTGATATATTTATATAATAAAATGAGTGAAGCATTGCTATACTCAAAAATATGGTGTGCATATTGTTGATTCAATTATGTTCATCAATCGGTGAACAAATACTTTGTTGGCTATTACACTATATACACAGGTTATATATAAGTATCTGCATGTTTTGTTCACTATAACGAACCACTAAGTAGCTATTATGAGTCAAAAAGTAACGAGGAGTGACCGCTGTGTACCAGCCAGCCACTCCCGCCCTCCCTCCAGTCACCTGACTCACCCACATTCTCCTCCCACAATACTGTTTTTGCTATAATTCACTATATACAGTTATATATAAGTATCTACATTCATGTTCACCATAGCGAACCACTAAGTTAGCATGCTGAGTGGCAGTGCCAGTGGCAGCCTGCCACTGGCTGCCACTCCCTCCCTCCCTCTCTCACCTCACCTGACTTGCCACCATTCTCCACCCACCATACTGTTTTTGCTTTTATATACAGACGTTATATATAAGTATTTACATGTTTTGTTCGCCATAACTGTACATCTAAGCTTGTATGGTGAGTAAAGGCACAAAGACGTAGGACGTCACACAGTCAGCTGATGGCTGCCGCCCTCAAGGCCAGACGCACTAATATTTCTCCTCCAACAATACTGTTTGTGGTGTTATTACGCTAAATACACACATTATATATAAATATCTACCTGTTTTATTCACCATACTTGTACAAGTAAACTGGTATGGTGCCCAAAGACCATCGTGGTAACCAGTAAACAATACCGTCGTTTGCACGGTGGCGTCATGCAGACGACGCCACCGCCCGCACCAAAATGGCAGCTCCCAACCTTCTCTTGCTGTTTATAACCAAAAGGCTTAACAATCCCTGGCTTACAAAGGGAATACTTAAATCTATTAATAAAAAACATGACCTTGAGAAGAAGTATAGGTTAGGAATTGTCTCCAAAGAATTCTCAAAGAATTACTCATTATTGCTATCTAAGATAATTAGACGAGCCAAAACTAAATACAGAGCACCACTTGGTTTCCGAACCCCTTGGGGACGAGACCCGTCGGTTAACATGTAAGTTCGTATACGAGAAATGGAGGAAAAATATAAAAAAAATGTGTGAAAAAATCTAGGGGAAAAATCGACAGGTTCATAGCATAAATGCGACCATATTTTGTTTGTACTCACCAATAATTGAAGTTCTGATCTGCTTATGTTGATGACTGATGTTGATGAAGCATAGTTATTTACATGGAAGAGGTAGTGGTGGATGTTGATGGTGTTGGTTTGACTGAAGTTTTTGGGTTGACTGAAGTTGTTGGGTTGACTGGGTCAACATGCGATGAGTCAGGTGCAGGTGATGCAATGCGAGCTTTCTTGGAAGCCATTGCAAAAGACTCTGCAATTGACATTTGTTTCATTCCCTTGGCTCTTGTTTTTAAAAACTTCATATACAAATTGTACCGAGTCATCATGTCCTTAATTTCAAACTCGCTGTTACTCGTGTCCATAAATGCCAGAATTTCTTAAAAAAAATTCTGAATTTTTTCCACATTACAATTTTCCTTTAACGTTTCTTCATCCTCTTCCTCTTCCTCTCCATCTTCTTCATTGCACTCGTCTGGCTTTTTTGCTGTACATACTAATTCTATAATTTCATCATTAGTCATGTTTCGATTGTTTGGGGCTTCTTCATCAAAATCTATCCATCTATCGATGTCATCTTCTATTGTTTCAGTTACCAGTTCTGCTCTCAGCTCAGGGGACTAAATCCCCTTGACATAGGCTAGGAGTTCCTCTCTTAATTTTTTCTTCTCGCTAACTTTCTTCACCGCAAATCCTTCAAAATCTGCCTCATCTTCGTCAGGAAACAGACTTGACGTGGGCCAAAGTTTTTCCAACCATTTCTTAGTGTTGTCTGCTTTACCTCATCCCACGCACTAGCAATAGTCCAGATAGCTGACTTTATTGTGAAGACTTTATAAAAGTCCTTAAGTGTTCCAAGCTGATTATTAAGACGTCTGGCAAACATCCTCTTGTAGTGGTGTTTAAGGTTCTTAATTATTCCTTGATCCATGGGTTGAATCACTGAAGTTGTATTGGGTGGCAAGAACGTTCCAATAATATTGCCATTTACTAGCTCATCACCTCGTGGATGCGTTGAACTGTTATCTAACAGCAGCACAACTTTGCTGTTTTGTGGGAAACCAACACTTTTCAGGTGCTCCTTCACCTCGGGTACAAAGTTCTTATTAAACCACTCGACATATATTACTGGCTGACTTTAAAGCCCTCGGGTTTTTACTAATTCCAATCGCAAGTAATATTAATTTGTGCATGCCAGCTGCATTTGCACAGCACAACAAAGAAATTCTCTGTTTGTTCTGTTTATAACCACCTTAATCGTCCTCACCACTATGAGCCATCGTTTCTGTGGGAAGCATACGCCAATACAAACCTGTCTCATCAGCATTATAAGTTTGCACTGAAGATAAATTTTGTTCCTGCACCATCT